CGCTGATGACGAACATAACATCTATTTTGACCCTAGACCAGCGGGTGGAAACTCTATTGCCGAAAAAGACATGCAAAGGTTTTTTGTGCAGCTTAGATCTCGGAACCCAGAAGTGGTAGGTGAAATCCGAGGTCATATTTGGAATCCTCATAAAATTTCACTCGGCGTAGGGTATGTTTGGAGCGGGAGGTCAAGGAAATAGTCGGTCATTTTGCAATAAGAAAAAAAAAAAAGAGGAAAAAACGCTGTGGGACCATGATCGAAACGTTGCATTGTTTTTTGGTAACACTTAATGCAAGAGAACGGGACCTCGTAGGTAAATTCTGAGGTCATATTCTGAATCCTGAGGAAATTTCCTGTGCATTACGCTGCCTGGGAGTCGTCAACACACCAAAATAACAGAAAACCGTTGTCGTGAAACTGAGAGAGGGTATGCAGCGATTGTATTGCATAAAATTACAAAACAGTCTGCCGTTTACTGCGTGTTCTAAAGGATACAGATCCTCCTTCTTTGAAACTTATAGGTGGAATGCACACACGAAAGCACGCTAAATTCATATCTGTACTCAGAATTTGAATTGGCCTTACCGTTGTCTCACATTAAGCATGACCAAATAGCAATTTTCGGGAAGAAGCGTAAATTTCGATCCTGGTCCCAGAGCGTTTTTCACCTGTTTTTTTACTTTCTCATGGCAAAATGACTGACCATTTCCTTTGCCCCTGGCACTAAACATGTCCTTCGCCGAGTGAAATTTTATAAGGATTCCAAATTATGACCTCGGATTTCACCTACCACCTCTGGGTTCCGAGATCTAAGCTGCACAAAAAACCTTGACATGCCGTTTTTGGCAACAGAGTTTCCACCCGCTGCCCAGACTCATGTTCAAACCCGTCAGGGTTAAAGAAAGGCGAAATTCACACATTTGTTAATGTACGGGACGGGCCAAAGTTGCCGATGTATATCGCTACTTTTCCTGTTATTTGAAGATTGAGTGGGTTTTGTTAAAATTTAGGCCTATTTAATCGTTTTGAGGATGTTGCCGGTGACGGAGACCCGGTTGTGGCATAGTTTCGGAAATGTCTCGACCAGACCTAGCGATGGGGCGAATAAAAATTTTTTGTCGGTCGGTCCCCTTTTTTGAAAAATGAGTGGATTTTGTTGAATTTACGCCTATTTTATCGTATTGAGGATGTTGCCGGTGACGGAGCCCCCGTTGTGGCATAGTTTCGGAAATGTCTCGACCAGACCTACCGATGGGGAAAATAAAAATTTTTGTCGGTCGGTCCCCTTTTTCAAAGATTGAGTGGGTTTGATAAAATTTAGGCCTATTTAATCGTTTTGAGGATGTTGCCGGTGACGGGGACCCGATTGCGGCACAGTTTCGGAAATGTCTCGACCAGACCTACCGATGGGGCAAATAAAAATTTTCAGTCGGTCGGTCCCCTTTTTTGAAGATTGAGTGGATTTTGTTGAATTTAGGCCTATTTTATCGTTTTGAGGATGTTGCCGGTGACGGGGACCCGATTGCGGCACAGTTTCGGAAATGTCTCGACAAGACCTACCGTTGGGGCGAATAAAATTTTTTTAGTCGGTCGGCCCCCTTTTTTTGAAGATTGAGTGGTTTTTGTTAAATTTTGGGGCCTTTTTTTATCGTTTTGAGGATGTTGCCGGTGACGGAGACCCGATTGTGGCATAGTTTCGGAAATGTCTCGACCAGACCTACCGATGGGGAGAATAAAAGTTTTTTGTCGGTCGGTCCCCTTTTTCAAAGATGGAGTGGGTTTTGTTAAATTTAAGGCCTATTTAATTGTTTTGAGGATGTTGCCGGTGACGGGGCCCCGATTGCGGCACAGTTTCGGAAATGTCTGGACCAGACCTACCGATAGGGCGAATAAAAATTTTTAGTCGGTCGGTCCCCTTTTTTGAAGATTGAGTGGATTTTGTTGAATTTACGCCTATTTTATCGTTTTGAGGGTGTTGCCGGTGACGGAGACCCGATTGTGGCATAGTTTCGGAAATGTCTCGACCAGACCTACCGATGGGGAGAATAAAAATTTTTTTTGTCGGTCGGTCCCCTTTTTTGAAGATTGAGTGGGTTTCGTTTAAATTAAGGCCTATTTAATCGTTTTGAGGATGTTGCCGGTGACGGGGGCCCGATTGCGGCACAGTTTCGGAAATGTCTCGACCAGACCTACCGTTGGGGCGAATATAATTTTTTAGTCTGTCGGTCCCCTTTTTTTAAAGATTGACTGGATTTTGTTCAATTTAGGCCTATTTTATCGTTTTGAGGATGTTGCCAGTGAGGGGGAACCGATTGCGGCACAGTTTCGGAAACGTCTCGGCAAGACCTACCGTTGGGGCGAATATCATTTTTTAGTCGGTCGGTCCCCTTTTTTTGAAGATTGAGTGGATTTTGTTGAATTTAGGCCTATTTTATCGTTTTGAGGATGTTGCCGGTGACGGAGACCCGATTGTGGCATAGTTTCGGAAATGTCTCGACCAGACCTACCGATAGGGAGAAAAAAGTTTTTTTGTCGGTCGGTCCCCTTTTTCAAAGATTGAGTGGGTTTTGTTAAATTTAAGGCCTATTTAATTGTTTTGAGAATGTTGCCGGTGACGGGGACCCGATTGCGGCACAGTTTCGGAAATGTCTCGACCAGACCTCCCGATTGGACGAATAAAAATTTTCAGTCGGTCGGTCCCCTTTTTTGAAGATTGAGTGGATTTTGTTGAATTTGGGCCTATTTTTATATCGTTTTTAGGATGTTGCCGGTGACGGAGACCCGATTGTGGCATAGTTTCGGAAATGTCTCGACCAGACCTACCGATGGGGAGAATAAAAATTTTCAGTCGGTCGGTCCCCTTTTTTGAAGATTGAGTGGATTTTGTTGAATTTAGGCCTATCTTAGTTTTGAGGACGTTGCCGGTGACGGAGACCCGATTGCGGCACAGTTTCGGAAATGTCTCGACCAGACCTACCGATAGGGCGAATAAAAATTTTCAGTCGGTCGGTCACCATTTTTGAAGATTGAGTGGATTTTGTTGAATTTAGGCCAATTTTATCGTGTTGAGCATGTTGCCGGTGACGGGGACACGATTGCGGCACAGTTTCGGAAATGTCTGGACCAGACCTACCGATATGGCGAATAAAAATTTTTAGTCGGTCGGTCCCCTTTTTTGAAGATTGAGTGGATTTTATTGAATTTAGGCCTTATAATCGTTTTGAGGATGTTGCCGGTGACGGGGACCAGATTGCGGCACAGTTTTGGAATTGTCTCGACAAGACTTACCGATGGGGCGAACAAAAATTTTTAGTCGGTCGGTCCCTTTTTTTGAAGATTGAGTGGGTTTTGTTTAAATTAAGGCCTATTTAATCTTTTTTTGGGATGTTGCCGGTGACGGGGACCCGATTGCGGCCCCGTTTCGGAAATGTCTCGACCAGCCCTACCGAAAGGGCGAAAAAAAAATTTTTAGTCGGTCGGTCCCCTTTTTCGAAGATTGAGGGGGTTTGCTGGGAAAAAACTGTGGGGAAATTTTGGCCCCCTTTTTTTGAAGATCAAGTATTTTTTCTCGGAAACGGTGAAGAATTTTGAACTTCTGGGATTTTTCCCAATTTTTTCCATAAAAATTTGGAATCGAATGGAAAAAACCGCAAGTCTCTACGACCACTTCTTGACCCCAAACATTTCTATGAGTCAGTCAGTCAGTGAGTGAGTGAGTCAGTCGGATTGGGGCTGTATAGGTTCTTGATTTGTTTGATGGTGGCTTCTACAAGAAGAATGTTCCAGCTGGTCTTCGTACCATGAATGTGTTTGTTGACGGCCCTTTAAATTGGAACTAAACCCAAAAAATCGGCATTTCCTGTGCTGGTTTCTCTGAATGAAATTCACCTTCACCCTTTGGAGAAAATACCTCATTATGGCTTGTGTGTGGTTAAACAAAAAGAAGCCAAAAATGCAATGAATACCTGAGACCTTTTGGGAAGAATGCAAGAAGCTACAAGCAGAAGGTGTACAATATAAAAAAATGGTTTGAATATTCACTCAAAAATTCCAAATCTGTGTTTGTATAAGTGACTCAGTGGCAAGGCCTCTTCTGAGAAAGTGCAGCCAATTTAAGGGGGCACACCAGTGAAAATGCAGAGGCTTCGTAAAAACGTTATTCTGAGTGAAGTAACAAAGGTAATGGGTTGAAATTTTATTCTGAAATAAAATATGTCAATTTAACCAAAAATGTACACGGCACCCGGGGCGGTGACGGGAAGGGGGGGGGGGGGGGTCATCTTCATTTTTTGGTGACACGGCTCCACTTTGCCCAAATTTGTGAAGCCCCCGATTGAGCCAGAAATATGGGGTTTCAAAATTTCTCATCAGGACACATGTGGCTATCGTGTAAACCACGGAAACACAATCCTAAATATGTTTTTTTTAGCAGCAAAAAAAGGGAAAAAATTTTTTGACCATATTTTTCACGTTTTCCCTGTCTGTGGCTCAGGCCCTGTACATGCTACGACCATATCCGAGGTTCACACGATAGCGGCTAGTTTTAAAGGGAAAATTTTTTCCGCAAAAACCCCACTCAATTATCTCAATTTTTGCGCCCGCAATCGTGGGGACCAGGTCCAAAAATGGTGTTTCGAGAAAACGACGTTTGAAGTGAAACTTCGGTTTACACGCTTTATTCCTCATTACGGACGCAATTTATGACATATTTGAGTTCGGTTTGCGCCAAAAAAATTCCTTTTCCATTTGCGTTTCGATGGTTCGAGGGTTTTGTCATTGGACTTCAAGTGAAACATCTGAACGTTAACAATTGAGGTAAATATGCAAAAATAGTTACCTTTTTAGGAACTTCAAAAATGTGCCCAAGCCAAAGTAATTGGAATTTTGAGGTGCGGTTTGCGGCGTTCAACTCGGAATGAATAGCAAAAAAATAAGATAAAATAAAAAAAGGAGGCCAAAGTTTGACGATTTTCACTGGTGTGCCCCCTTAACGGCTCTTATGGGTGCGGTCTCTGCTACCATCCTGGAATCAGAACACGCTTTGGAAGGGGTCATGTCAGGTCCTACTCAACATTTGAAAGAAGTTACGCCTTAAGAACCAATGAGGAAACTATTGAATATGCAAGAAGAGCAGAAGCTTCCAATGTCAAGAAAATGAAAGGTGTTAAAGGTTTTTCTGTGCTCTCTGAAATTCCCAATTTTGACATAGTCACTCAACTTGACCCTGACTCTTTTCATTGTTTAGTAAATGTAGCCAAACGATTTACTTGGTTGTGGTTTGGGAAAAGGTTTAGCGGCAAGGTCTTCAGCATCTGTGACAAGCTAAGTGAAGCTGACGCAAGACTACTAAGCATCACTCCTACATCAGATACATCAAGATTTCCCCGTTCACTTACAGAACGGTCAGATTGGAGAGGGCACGAATGGTATCATTGGATCTTGACTTATAGCATCCCATGTTTGAAGAATTTACTGCCTACTAGATATTTTAATCATTGGAGTCAACTCCCCACTGGTCTTGCATACTTAATGCAAAATTCTTCAGCCAAAAGTGATGTGGGATATGGTGATCGATTTCTAGTCAAATTTGTTTCTGAAATTGACTATCTATATGGACCAGAGCATGTAACGTTCAGCATTCACCTTCTCACCCATTTGGCAAAAAGTGTGTCTGATTTTGCCCAGCCATTTTGTCATTCGGCATATATTTATGAAGCCGAAAATGCAGAGATAAAAAGTCTTGTTAAAAGCGGCAATGGTGCTATCTTCCAGATAGCCAAGGGAGTGCAACTTAAAGCAGCAGTGAAGCAAATGGAATATGATCTTAAAGACAATATGACTCCAAATGAAAATGCATATTTGAGAAAAATGACAATTTCTGTGGTCCATCCAGTGAGCTATTGTACAATAGGGAATGCAAGTCTCCTGGGGAATCCTGACATCAAGATGCTGGAACACGAAGCAGTGGTGGCATTCAGAAGAGCTCAAATTCAACTTGACGCAACAAGATCTCATGCTGTTTACTTGAGATGCTTATTGAATGAAGAACTTTTATTTTCTACCAAGTACACTAAGGCACCAAAACAAAACAACTCTGTAGTTATGTTAGAAGATGAATCAATTTTTATCATTGATTCATTTGTTGTTCTGATGGACAAATGTTTTGCTCTTGGGTACTACATTATGGAGAACAAACGGCAGAAGATTTGTGATCCAATGCCACCACATATGAAGCTACTTAAAAATAACAAGGTAGGTTTACGCCAGACCGCGTCTTGTCGTAACAGGCTTCGCGATGTCTCGCGGCCTGTTCCTCCAATCCGCGCCTGGCGTACCTACCTTGGCCTGCGGCGCTAGCCTGCCTTCGGCAGGCATTGGCTTGTCCATCGTCGGTTACTTCTTACGTGTTGCATGCTGGGGGGCTCCGCACAGTGGGACGAAACGCGAAAAAAGTGCCGAGAAGTGGCATTTTAAAAATTGGGCGGGCGGGTCCTACAAACTATCAGATGTTGGAAATAAAGGTTTGGTCTATGCCTGACACTAATTTTTTTGACAATATTTCAAACGTGCGAGCCCCTGCGGAGCGCAAAACTTGACACATTTTCAGCTTTTCGTTTGTACTTTGCAATGGGTGTATAGTTTCCCTCCTGGTAGCCGTCTCCTATGAGATAAAGGTAATGTTTTTATATGTTTTTGGAAAGCTTATGACCTAAAGAAACCTGTGTAGCCCTCAGATTTACTCTTTGTTCAGCCGGGTAAAAGTTGAACGGTGTTAAATGTGTTGCAAAATCAACGTTTGAACGATTTTTACGATGCGATAAGTTGAGTTGCGAACTTTTGCGAACGGGTCTGCGACATGCCCGTGATAGAGCAGCTTCTCGGCTTTCCGGTCCATATCGCAAAATGCTCGGCATCGCTCAGCGTTTTGAAAAAATCGCCTCTAAAAGTGCCCGTATCGCTCAGTTGGACGAAACCCGGATAAGTCCCAAAAAATTCTGGGATGCTCTGATCGTCTCCAAAATCACTACCGGGGTTTTTTGGGGGATGAGAAATCGTTTTCGTTTAAATTAAACGCCTACAACGAACGCCAGGGGCGGATCCAACATTCCAGGGGGGGTGAACCGTTCGGAGCGCACGGAACGATGCCAAAATCACTTCATAGGGTTTTGGGGATGAGAAACTCGTTCATGTCAACGTCGAAAGCCGGAAACAAACGCCAGGGGCGAATCTAGTTTAACCCTTTCCTTGATTGCTGGATCCGCCCCTGGCGTTCGTTTCCGGCTTTCGACTTTGAGGGGAATGAGTTTCTCATTCCCTAAAACCCCGTGTAGTGATTTTTGGGATCGTGCCGTGCGCTCCGAACGGTTCACCCCCTCCTGGAATGCTAGATCCGCCCCTGGCGTCCGTTTTCGGCTTCCAATTTTGACGGAAACGAGTTTCTTATCCCCCAAAACCACCGAGTAGCGATTTTGGAGACGATTGGAGCATCCCAGAATTATCGGCACTTTTTTTGGGTTTCGTCCCACTGTGCTCCGCCCCCCAGACCCCCCATAATTCTAGATAGAGTTGCTTCATCTACAGATAACACGATCTTGACCCTTGTAACTTTTTCATTTGTCGAGGCTGGGGGGCTCCGCCCCCCAGACCCCCTTTCTTCAAGGCAGAGGTGGTCTACCTGCAGGAAACTCGATTTTTTTGCCGTTTTTTAGGTGTTTTTCGGCTATAAAAACTGAACCAGTTGAGCTAGGATAGTGAAATTTCGTGTGTGCTGAGCCAAGAACATACCTAATAAGCCTGCAAAATCTCAGCCAGATCAGCCGAGCCGTTCAGGAGGAGTAGTGCACACACACACACAGACAGACAAACAGACAGACAAAACTTTTCAACCGCACTGGAGTAACGGGCTTCGCTATCGCTCAGCCAATCATGAAGGTACTTTACGATGCATCCCAGTCTCTCACATCGAAAGTAAACTTCTTTCAACTCTTGTTAAAATTTCTGACGATGAGTCCTTAAGATTGGCTTATATTAATGTTCTGTCAATGGAGATGCTAAAATAGCAACTTCAATAGCACCCACTTAATGTCAATGGAATTTATTCCATCAGAAAGACTAAAAATGTCCCAACATTTTAATGTTTGTTTGCTTTTTGTTATTTTAATCTCCTTGGTAGTAGGACAGCCTAGCACTGATAGGAAATTAGGGTAGTGACTTAAAAACGGAAACACACAATAAGTATACCAATTCTATTTCCAAATAACTCTTTGTACATAACAATGTATCATGTTGACAAGGAAAATTTAAAAGCTCTAGCATATACTTAGCATTTTTTAAATCTGTATTTTTAAATAAAATAGAAATTTTATATTTGCAATTGCCTGTTGCCCACTTTAATTTTTTCCTTTGCAATCCACCCTGTGAAATTCTAGGGAGAACCAAGTGAAGTTGACTTACTGATGGCAAATGACCTGCTCGCAGTCTGCTTCCTAAACTTCTTCGGATTGAAACTGCCTCATCAGGGAAGCATGGCACACAAAAGACACCAGGTCTTTGGAATGGCACTAATAAACAAGACCCTGCCTGAAACATGAAAATGCATTATATAAGCTACACGTTCACTCAGGATTTGTCAGGTTTGCACCAAGAAAGGAGGTTAGAGCCATGTAGCAGAAAGACCACAAACTTATTCTACTAAACCACATTGTCTATATTCAAAGCACAGCTCTACCCAAACTCACGTGGCCATCGGTGTGAGCGGGTAGCAAATGATTATTTCGTCGCACGGTGACAGACATTAGTGAAATTGAGTGGCTGTAAATACATGACGGCAGGTGAGAGAACTAGGGCTGGGCGGTTTTCCGGTATACCGGTTCGCAGGTTCGGTTTTTTCAAGAACCGGCCAGTCGGTTCAGACCTAGGAACTGAACCGGTTCACCGAATACCGAAGTTTAACCGGTAAACCGACGAACCGTGGCTGAAGTTCCTCTTGTAATTGGTCCATTTCAAGTAAGTCAAGGGAATTTAAAGCATATTTAAGCGTATAAGAGTGTTTTTCATGGAAATTTGTAGTGTTAATAATGAGTTTACCATACGTAGAGCCTTAACCGATGAAGTTACTTGTTTATTTTGATGCTTTTAAAGAGCCGGTTCGGTTGAAAAAACCGGTTTGGTGGAAAATACCGGTTTTTTTCACTGAACCGGTATACCGGTTCGGAAAAAGGTTTTTTGCTGAACCGGAAACCGGTTCGGAAATGTCTGAACCGCCCAGCCCTAGAGAGAACCACACTACCGCGTAACCCCCGCTTCAGACACCTGGCCGTGGCGCTGGGCCATGGTGAGGGGAGGGGAGTGGAGTGGAGGCAGCCCAGCCGGCCGAGCCAGCCTGGTTGGGTAGGCACCCCGGCAGACGGGCGAACCGAGCGGGCTGGCCTACCCGTTGCCCCGCAGGCGCTCGCGGTGTGCCGAGCGGGTAGCCTATCCATCTCCTCGCAGGCGCGGGCGGCTCGAGGTGCGAGGTGCCCGCCCAACGCTGTCGAACGAATGGGGCGGGGCACTTCGCTAAGCAGAGATGGGCAGTAACATCATCCTGGTTATGTAATTCACAATGCCATTCAAATCCCTTCTGGGACTGCACTTCAAAGAAAGGTCGAAAGTGCATGCAGCCTATAAGCAGAGGTGCATTTTGCACTGTATTTGGTGACTGTTTCATGAATTACAGAAGACTTACAGAAATACATACAGGAATGAGTGAACTTGGAACTGTATTCAGTGACTGTCTCGCAACTACGCTGCAACTGCAGACAGACTGAAGTCCAAGCTCTAAGTTCAATTACATGTCCGACTGCAGATGCTTTCTGCAGCTTAACTGCAGCAAAACTGCAGTTTTTACTGCAGTTTCCACACTGCAGTTTCTCACTGCAGTTTAAAGTCAGTGGAAACTACAGATCGTTCCCACCCGGGGGCTCGGCACACGCGAAATTTCACAATCCTTGCTAAACTGGTACAGTTTTTATAGGCGAGAAACACCTAAAAAACGGCAAAAAATCGAGTAATCTGCTGGCGGATCACCTCTGTCTGAGGGAAGGGGGGGGTCTTGGAGGCGAAGTACCCCAGCCTCGGTGTGCCTCGACAAGTTTAAATGTTACCAGGATCTAGATCGTGTAACCTGTAGATAAAGCAACTCTATCTATAATAAAGGGGGGGTCTGGGGGGCAGAGCCCTCCAGCACCAAGTAGAAAGCAAGCAACGGTGGACAAGCTCATGCATGTTGAAGGCAGGCTAGCGCTGAAGGCCAAGGCACGGAAAAAAAATATTTCGCTATTTTAGCGAACATCTGTTTGCCGAAGGAAAATTCGCTGGAATAACGAGCAAATTCGCTATTTCAGGGCATTTAGGACTCTGATGTAGCGAACTCTTGTTCGCTGTTCTACCGATAAGTTTTTCCTTACTAACGCAACGAACATGTTTGCTAGATATGCTAAAAGTGTTCGCCAACATTGGATTCATGGGTGTTTTGTACCTTGTGGGGCTTTCTAAGCCAAGAGGAGGACTCTAGCCTATGCCCACAGTATGTCTTGGTGGTCTCGGGGAACAGCACGAATCTCAGAACCTGTAAGTTGAAGGTTCGATTCCAGCTCGGAGTGGGCGAGAGAAGATAATTGTATCCTGGTTGAGGGCAGAAGACCGCTCTAAATCGCCTTCCAACCATCTTTTTGTGAGAAGACTACGAAATCATGGTCATTTCATCAGCGAAAATTGTTACCTACACCCAGAGGAAGGAATTCTTGTGGCAATCCCGGATTTCTATTGAAATGTTTTGATCATATTTACTCCATTCAATCCTAATTTTCTCACTTTGAGCATGGTTTTGATCGATTATGAAAAAGTGTTATTCTCAATTTTCGGCCTGTATTTCATGTTTGACTTCAAAAGTGAAGGAGGCGACGAGCATCGAACACCCGCTTTTGGACTAGTATGCCAGCTCGCAAGCCACAGCACCAATGTGTCGCTCTGTTCAGTGTGCCTCGATAAAACGCTATACATTCGACGCCTGCCGAGCGCTCAGAAAAATTGAAGAGAGGGGCCGAACGCGGAAACTGAGATCAGCGATAAAGCCCCGGTGTGACAGTCTGCATAGTGTAGGGTATCGGTCCCGTCTGGCACTTGGTGGACTGCGGTTAAAAAACCGTCCACTTCGATATTTTGTTTGCCCTTTAGTCCCACCCCAGCCTCAGATCCGTCAACTAGCTTAAATCCGGCTCTGCGGTCCTTTTGTTTCAACTTCAATTGAATGCGTCATTAGAATTATCGCCGTGCGCAGATGCAGCGCTGTGTAGCGCAGTGGTCAAGGGCTCTCCCGTAGTCTACGCACTTCGGTTCAAATCCCATCTGTGTTTTTTTTTTTTTTCTTTTTTTTTTTTTTTTTTAAACAAGTTAGCACGCTTATTACGCAGAGCTAACATGTAAAGCGGAAAAAGACCAAAAACAACAGCCCGCCCCTTTTTAAACATCTAAAATCCCCGGCATGCGAACGGTCAGGTTGGCCGGGAAAAAAAGGTGACGCATCGGCTGGGAACCGAACCTGGATACTATCCTGTGAGGCAGACACTCTACCACTGTGCCATTGGGCTGTTTCAGAGCTGTCAGGGTGGGCTCGAGAGTGTTTGGGGTGACGAAATGCAGCTGCTCTGAAGTTATGTGGGGGGGGACAACAACCACCTCATTGTCCATCCCCCCTAGGCGCAGCTCCATAGCTTCAAGATGTGTTCTTGGCACAAGAAAACCGACTTTCTAAGGCATTGATGCTGGTTGCAGGATTGAACGGAGAAAAATTTGTCTCATAAAATTTTTGTTGACGTCACCCCAAAACTGATCGCATCACGCCGATTGATCCGAGTCAACTATTCTCTCCTCTTTCCCAAATTTTTTTCGCCTAAAATTTATTTAAACATACAGGCAAGTAAAAGTCAAGATCCGAATGACCCAAAAACTTCTTGCTCGCAAGTGACCCAAAAAATGATTGCAACAAGAAAATTTTGGTGAGCGACAGCGAAGCCCGTTACTCAGGTGGGGTTGAAAAGTTTTGTCTGTCTGCGTGTGTGTGTGTGTGTGTGTGTGTCCGCGCTACCCCTCCTGAACGGCTCGGCCGATCTCGGTGAGATTTTGCACACTTTTTCGGTATGTCTTGGCTCGGCACACGCGAAATTTCACTATCCTAGCTCAACTGGTTCACTTTTTATAGTCGAAAAAACTAAAAAAGGCGAAAAATCGAGTTTCTGAAGATGGATCATTTCTGTTTTAAAAGGGGAAGGGGGGTCGGGGGGGCGGAGCCCCCAGCCCCACAAGTAAAAAGTTACAAGGTGTAGATGGGGTTATCTGTAGATAAAGCATTCTACATAGAATGAAGGGGGGTCTGGGGGGCGGAGCCCCCCAGCATGAAACAATTTAAAAAATAACCGACAATGGACGGACAAGCCATTGCCTGCCGAAGGCAGGCTAGCGCCGCAGGCCAAGGTAGGTACGCCAGGCGTGGATTGGAGGAACAGGCAGCGAGACATCGCGAAGCCTGTTACGACAAGACGCGGTCTGGCGTAAACCTACCTTGTACTTGTTACAAGAATTTCCTTCTCTGAGTGTATCCCAGCGAACAAAATGTAGGTGAAAAATTTTCGCTGTAATAGCCAACAATTTCTTTGTGCCATTAGCAGGTGACGAAAATTCGCTGAAATAGCAAAAAATTTGCTAGATTAGCTCCAGGCGCGGATTGGAGAAACAGGCCGCGAGACATCGTAAAGCTTTTTGCGACAAGACGCGGTCTGGCGTAAACCTGCCTTGTTTGGGTTGTAGGCACGCGGTCTGTTTGAAGCCACTCCTCAGATGACTTTGACGTTATTTGCTGCCACCGAGCAGTTGTCATTGTGAACCAAAGAGGCTTCGTTCTAATTGGCTGAGCGAAAAGCGAACCCTTTAACTGGGTGGGGTTGAAAGTTTTGTCTGTCTGCGTGTGTGTGTGTGTGGGGTGTGTGTGGTCCGCACTATCCTCCTGAACGGTCGGCCGATCTCGGTGAGATTTGCACATTTTTTCGGTATGTCCTTGGCTCGGCACACGCAAAATTTCACTATCCTAGCTCAACTGGTTCAGTTTTTATAGTCGAAAAACACCTAAAAAACGGCGAAAATCGAGTTTTCTGCAGATGGTTGACTTCTGTCTTAAAGAAAGGGGTGTCTGGGGGGGCGGAGCCCCCCAGCCCCGACAAGTTTAAAAGTTACAAAGGTCTAGATCGTGTTATCTGTAGATAAAGCTTTCTCTCCTAGAAGTAGGGGGTCTGGGGGGCGGAGCCCCCCAGCATATATCAATTTAAAAAATAACCGACAATGGACGGACAAGCCATTGCCTGCCGAAGGCAGGCTAGCGCCGCAGGCCGAGGTAGGTACGCCACGCGTGGATTGGAGGAACAGGCAGCGAGACATCGCGAAGCCTGTTACGACAAGACGCGGTCTGGCGTAAACCTACCTTGTTGTAAAGGAGATCGGAATACGGGAAGTGATCGGACATACGGGCGAACACATAACGT